GCTGTGCCAAAACCTGTCCTCCAAATTTTGCAAGTTTTCTTTCTCTGCAAAATAAGCGCTTTAGAATTTAATTTAGTGTGGGGGTACAGCTTTATTTACCTTTGTGAAGTAGCCAACAACAGAATGTATGTTTTTCCATTAAACATTTATTCAGCACTCTGCAGCCTCCCCAGCTGCCCACACTTCCTGATATGAAAAAAATACCCATGTGAGGAATAACTTCATGGTCTCTCCCTCTGTTCTTAAGTATTGGGGGCTGGGGAGGCTGACCACCAAGCCCCTGGCTCTTTCTTATTTTGTTTTTCAGGAAGGCCATTCCTTTTAACTTAAAGATACTTAGAGCTTAAGGAACTTAAAGAAAAAGAGTTTTCTTTTGTCTTCTTCCAACTCCCACAGTCTTCTCTGTGTCAAGTGCCAACTGAGGTGGCCATAAATCATTTGCTGACCTGAAGCATTTGAAGGAAATTGCTGAATCACACCACTTAATTAAGTAAACAGGGCAACCTAACCAAAATAGCTCAGCTGGCTCTCTCTAGTTGGATTCTGAGCAGTGGCAAATATAAGAAGCTTTGTTGTTGTTGTTTAGTCGTTTAGTCATGTCCGACTCTTCGTGACCCCATGGACCAGAGGACGCCAGGCACTCCTGTCTTCCACTGCCTCCCACAGTTTGGTCAAACTCAGGCTGGTAGCTTCGAGAACACTGTCCAACCATCTCGTCCTCTGTCATCCCCTTGTCCTTGTGCCCTCAATCTTTCCCAACATCAGGGTCTTTTCCATGGAGTCTTCTCTTCTCATGAGGTAGCCAAAGTATTGGAGCCTCAGCTTCACGATCTGTCCTTCCAGTGAACACTCAGGGCTGATTTCCTTAAGAATGGATAGGTTTGATCTTCTTGCAGTCCATGGGACTCTCAAGAGTCTCCTCCTGCACCATAATTCAAAAGCATCAATTCTTCGGCGATCAGCCTTCTTTATGGGCCAGCTCTCACTTCCATACATCACTACTAGGAAAACCATAGCTTTTACTATACGGACCTTTGTTGGCAAGGTGATGTCTCTACTTTTTAAGATGCTGTCTAGGTTTGTCATTGCTTTTCTCCCAAGAAGCAGGCTTCTTTTAATTTCGTGGCTGCTGTCACCATCTGCAGTGATCATGGAGCCCAAGAAAGTAAAATCTCTCACTGCCTCCATTTCTTCCCCTTCTATTTGCCAGGAGGTGATGGGCCCAGGGGCCATGATCTTCATTTTTTTTTTTTTATGTTGAGCTTCAGACCATAAGAAGCTACCTTATTCTTAATCAGATTCCCAGCCCATCTACCCCAGTGTTCCCTGCTCTGACTTGCAGCTGCTCTCCTCTCTCTCAGAGGTCTTTTTTTCTGTCTTTCTGCCTGTGGGTCTCTAAGTGGATACCCAAGATCTGAATCTGGGATCTTCTACATGCAAAACAAGGAGATGACCCTTGAGGTATGGCCCCTTTCCAGCAATTGCTGAGCTGTTCTCCATTCTCAAATAATGCTCTCTGAATAAGCCCATTGAAATGCTTCTGCCATTCCTGGTGAACTTGCTTCTTATTATTTTCCCTTATCTCTTTCTCTCTTTCAGAAAAAGCATTTCAATACCAGCTCAGATTAAAGGTCTTCTAAAACACACACACACACAAATATTAAATGCTGTTCAATGCACACGATCCAGCATGCTAAAATATCATCAGCATAGCTCACCTATTCTGGAGAATCCTGTCAAGAGGTTGCATTAAAAAAAGAAAAAAGAAAAAATCAAATGCAAGAAGACGGATGGATTGAGACCAATACTGGCACTCACCAGCTCCATATGAGACTCTCCTAACTCTTAGCTATGACAGTGTGAAAGAGAGAAACTGCATTGTAAACCAGCAGAGGGCATGAAATCTACAGAGGATGCTAAAGTGTTGAGTTAAGCCAGGTGTGGAGAACCTTTGATCCTCCAGATGTTGTTGAACTAAACTCCCATCAGCCTCAACAAACATGGCCAATTGCAAGGGCTGGTGGGAGTTGTAGTTCAGCAACATCTGGAGTGCCAAAGGAGTTAGATGAAAGAAATTGCTTTGTTCATGGGTGGAATGGCATATGGAGGGGAGGAGAGAAGAGAGGGGAAGCTCTGTTACACAAGTGTAATTTTTTGTGCTGACAGGATGCATTAGTTAGATACCAGCCCAATCTCTTACATTTAGCTTATCTTTTGATGATCAGATCTCTCTAATGGAGATGGGCTAGGCTACAATGAGCTTCTGAGATCTTAAATATAGCATTTTGAAAGCCCGAGGTTACATAGAAAACACCCATGTTGATCTGACACTTGTCAATGCCTCCCCTTCTCCTTGCTGTTCAAGCAGTGCCTCCCATCCCTTCACCAATCGCTCTGTTCTAATAGTTGACATTCTCTAAGTCTTCCTCTTCTGGCAATCACTTCTGGCAGTCAAGGTGTTGTAGCCTGGAAAATTACAAGAATGGCACCATGCCCTCTTCCAAACCGAAGAGGATGCTATTCAAAGTTCTTGGCAGGTGAACAAGCTTCAGCCACCTGCTTGGAGGAGATCTCTTTCCCTGAACAATATCATCCATGCAGTCATATTTCACACCTCTTTCCCCCCTAAATTCATCATGGTTGGCATGAAAGGCACACTGGAAGATATTGTGAAACTCTAAAAAAAGTGCTTTGATAAGAACAGCAAGAATTTCCCTGGAGTTTCTCATATCTAGTACTTGTGCATTGGTAGTCAAGTGGTGTTGAGCATGCAATTCTCTGCTTCTCCCCAGTATGGTATGTTCAATCTGGATCTAGTCAGCTTTTGCCATTCCATTGTAAAAATTGATAAGATTCCTGGTTCCCTTTCATTCTGGGGGGGAAAGTGATAAGTGGGGTGCTGCAGGGTTCTGTCCTGGGCCTGGTGTTCTTCAATAAATGACATGGTGTCAGGAATGAGCCAGCTCCGAGCGAAGGTTTGCAGCCAACTGCAGAAAGCAGCCAGGAACAGAGAGGCTTTGATGATAGTCAGACAGGGGAGAGCTGGCAGCTGCAGACTTCGGCTCTTCCTGACCTTGACAGAGAGGCTGATAAGGCAGTAGCTGAGAGCAGGCTAGAACACAGCCAAAGCTCGTAGGAAACACAAATAGGAGCGAATAGATTCAGAGACAGCCTCTCAGACCAGGAAGAGATTGGAGCTGATCCACTAAGTCTGAAGAGTCGGCGAATGGGAGGGCTGCTAGATAGGAAACAAAACAAGAGACGTAAGGGTCATAAGTTCAATATCTTCTGTCAAAGCCAGAAGCAGTCTTCAGAAGGGTCACCTTGAGTAATGATGCTGGAGGCTTTGTCAGAGCCATCTGGAGCTATCTGTTTGTTTTTGCAATAAGTCCTCCTTTTTAATTAGCTATGCTTACTGTGTTATCAAGCCAGGAACGTGGACTCCTGGCACACGGATAAAGGAATAGAGTGGGTGTTCACCAAATCTGCAGGTGATACCAAACTGAGAGGGGTTGCTAATAAGTTAGAAGATAGAATCAGGATTCAAGGTGACCTTAACATGTTGGAGAACTGGACCAAAACTAACAAAATTGAGTTCATTGGGGGGGTGTGTGTGTAAGGTTGTTCATGTAGGCAGGAATAACCAGATGTAAAAATGTAAGAAGGGGCGCACCCTGGTTTGACAGCAGTAAACATAAGAAGGATCTTGGTGTTTTACTAGACCACAAGCTTAATATGTCTCAACAGTGTGTTGCAGCAGCAAGAAAACCAAATGCCTTTCTAAGCAGCACCAGCAAAACTATAGTGTCCAGATAATGGGAATTAATATTTCTGCTCTTGGTCAAACCTCATCTGGAGGACTGTTTCCAGTTCTGGGAACCACAGTTTAAAAGGATGTTGACAAGCTTGAATGTGTGTAGAGGAATGAGATCAAGATGATCACAGGTCTAGAAACAAAGACTTTTGAGGAACAGTTGAGGAGCTGGGCATGTTTAGCCTGGAGAAGACAAGACTGCTCAGTCTCCTAGCTTCTGTATTCTGAACCACTTGAAGTTTCTAAACACTTTGCAAATAATTCCTGATAGTAATCAAGCATGGATGTCGCTAATTAGCAAAGTACTGCCCTTAATAAGGAGGTTCTGGTTTCAATTTCCTTGACTACTGGTCATGCATAGACCAGCCCTCCATGGATCTGTCTAAATTTCATTCATTTACAACATGGATTACCTCTAACATCTATATCCTTTTTAGACTTTAGAAGGGCAGAGCCTTTTGACAGATGTATTTATTTGCACTTGTTCCTTATGTGTCCCAGCTGGCTTGGCAATCTGTTTTCTGCTCATCAGCTTAAAATGAATATATAAAAATATCTAAAATATTGGTATTATTTTATCTGTGATTTCTCTTCTGATCTGCATGTTTTCCCTGACTCTCTCCCCCCTCCCCTCTTTCTTTTGAAAACCCTAATGAAGAGAATCAACTCAAATGTCAACATTTGCAATTCTGGAGCTCCGTTTAAGTAATAAAAAATAATAATTAAAAGGGTAAAACCTTAGAGAGATTTCTTCATTTTATATGGCTTGCAAGATATGATACACATTCAAAAAAAAAAAAAAGTCAGTAAAAGAATTAATTAGAAACAGCTAAAGCCCAACAAGCTATGCAAGTTAATGAAGCAGGGAAGGGAATGTCATTGTAGAGACCCAGAGCTACGGTTTGCTTGGATAATATATACTCCTGCCTTACTCTTCTAACTAAACCTCTTTTAATCCATCCCTTTTTTGAAAAATAAAATCAATGCTAATAACGCTGATCTACTGAGGAATGACAGACAATGAATGTTAGAGGGCAGCTGAGTTTACTTAATGATGACACATTGTTTTCCCACCTTCCATGACCACCCTGAACACAGGAAGTTGCCTTATAAAAAGTTGGACTAGTGGTCTATCTCGCTCCTCTCTGGGGCTTCAGATGGGGGTTTCCCAGACCTCTCTTAGACCAGGAGATACAGGGGACTGAACCCAGGATCTTCTCCATGCAAAGCAGATGCTCTACCACTGAGTTACAGCCCTTCCTCTGAAAGGCAACACATTTTGACTGAGATGTTGCATCTTGCAGGATGCTTCATTTGTGTTCTCCTGTTAACCTCAGAATGGAGGGTCCATTGATATAACTGGCTGAATCAATGTCATGGACTGGCTGGAGGCAGAGGAGTGGCAATGGGCACCAGCTGGGGAACCCCCAGGGGAACAGCTCAGAGTCACGGGATTGGTGGTAGGGTGACAATGAGTGGTCGGAGAGAGAAGATGTGAAATGCATTAGTTCCCCAACCTTGTGCCATGTTGCATGCATGGGGGTGGGTCGGACAGTTGTATGTGTCAATGTCTCTATGTGAGAAACTGACAGCAAGCAGGCAAGAATAAATATTCATTGCATATCATTTATTAGACTTATTAGTCACTTGTCACCTGAAGGTCTCCAAGCAACTTACAGAAAAACAACAACAACAACAACAGAAAACACAATACAGTCATACTTCAGGTTACAGAGGCTACAGGTTGTGTTTTTTTGGGTTATGGACTGCCGAAACCCAGAAGTACCAGAACGGGTTACTTCCAGGTTTCGGCGGTCACACATGCGCAGAAGCGCTAAATCATGCTTTGCGCATGCACGCTGAATCACAACCTGTGCATGCGCAGACGAGCCGCTGCAGGTTGCGAACTCTGCGGGTTACAAATGTGCATTCTGCTCAGATCATGTTCATAACCTGAGCGTCCACTGTACCATAATACCATGGGGAGGAAAGGGGGGAAATAATATAATACATTAATATTTCATATAACATAACATCCACAGGTGTGTGTGTGTGAGGAGAATACCAGCTGAACATAGAGTAGCGACCAACGTTCAAATAATAAACCAAGCAATACTCTGACCCACTAATTAGCAAACAAACAAAACCTCAACCTCCTCCTAGTCCAAAAATCATTCACATCAAACCAACAGTTTTGTTCCCATTTAACTTCCCCACCCAGAAGTCTGATGTCAAGGCCAGCTGTTGCAAATCAGCGGTGGGTGGAGTCCAATATCTTCCAGGGATGGTCTGGTGTCTCTCTTCTCCCTTCAGGAGGGAGCAGGAACAAAGTCATGCAGGAAGATGGCAAAATAAAGTCTTACCTGATCCTCCCTGCATCTGGAAATATAACATCTCAAGGGAAAGGTCCCTTTTCCTTGGCATGCACTTTGGTCCCTATCAAAATTCATTTTGTTAGTTTGGGCCCAGCTCTCCAATCTGTTTAGGTCATTTTGAATCTTGATTCTGTCTTCAGTGGCATTGGCTTCTCCTCCCAATTTGGCATCATCTGCAAATTTGATGAGCATCCCCTCAATTCATCCATCCAAGTCATTTATAAAGACATTGAACAACACTGGGCCCAGGACAGAACTTTGAGGCACTTGCAACTTTTCCCCATGATGATGAAGAGCATCTATGAATTTTTGCAAGAATTTAGAAATATGAAAAAAAATGTTTATCAAACTTTTTGAAAGTATTGTTGTCATGTCGAGCCATTGGGGGAGAGGATTAAGTAAGAGGGAGGGAAAGCATTTTAGAGGGGTGACGCCGCCGCCGCCCCGCTGCCTTGAACACTTCCCGGCCGCCATTTTGAATTCTCCAGTTCTTCCAGGAGCAGTCTTCATCGCTCGTGGAAGTAGCTCCATAAAATATTGGAAAGAGGCCATAGCTCATTGGTAGAGCATCTGATTTGCATGCATAAGATCCCAGGTTCCATCCCTGACATCTCTAGGTAGGACTGAAATAGATTCTGCAACTGAAATCTTGAGGAGTAGCCACTTGATGAACCAATGGCCTGACTCAACATCAAACAGCTGGCTATGTTCCTAAATTTACTCCCATTGACTCCAGCTGTTTGACATGGCTTGACACGACAGTGGAAGTTTTTGCTCATCAAAGCCGATGTCCTGGCTTTTTGCAACTGTTTCTTCAAATCTCACTTTAGGTGAAATTTCAGTGGCAGCCCTACTCTAGAACGGACATGGTCCAATTGGGAGTGCATGGTTCAACATGCTAGCCTAGAGATCTCCTCCCTTATCTAGAGTAAGCAGCTTCAAGTCAGCCCACTTTGCTCCACCAGAGCAGAACAAAAGTGACTCAGGAGGGGCCTTATATATCTTTCAGGATAATAAATAATCAGCAGCACTTGGTACTTCCGAGATTATCCTTTTCATTTTCAAAGCCACTGTGCAAACATTAACTAATTAATCCTCATGGCTCCCATATGAGGCCATCATAGTATTAATAATGCTTGGCATTTATACAGCCCCTTTGAGCGAAGGATCTGAGAGGCATTTGAAATGTTAATTTGTATTATTATCTATTTGTTCCACATACGCCCTAGTGGTATCAGAAGAACTCACATAGTCCCTGGATCAATGTAGCGTGTAAGCAGCCATTTATCCCCATTTTATAGGTGACAGTACTGAGGCATGAAAAGAACCAAGCTCTGAGACCCGCTGAAGACAAATTATTGGTTTTCTATTATGATTTCAAAGAGCTGATGGTAGTACGATAGAGGTAGAATTGGATAAAACTGTCTTATTTCCATTCCACCCAACTCTTCCATGTTTCATTCCATTGCTTTTCTGTGCTAATTTGTAATTTTTATTAAAAAGTCTCAAAACACATATTTTAAGACATTTTTATTTTTTCTCAATGATCATATTTTTAAAAAGCGCATTTTCTCTCCAAAACATATTTTGATTAGGGATAGAATTTTCTGATAATATTGATGTCCAATTGGATTTCCCCTCCCCTAATTTTTATCTTGTTTCATGATCTCAGTGAGAAGGGACCTTTTTTCCTAGTTTCACTAAAAAGACTTTTTGCAAATTACATGCATTCTTAGGGTAAAGGTAAAGGGACCCCTGACCCTTTAGGTCCAGTCGCGGACAACTCTGGGTTTGCGGTGCTCATCTTTCTTTACTGTCTGAGGGAGCCGGCATACAGCTTCCGGGTCATGTGGCCAGCATGACTAAGCCGCTTCTGGCAAACCAGAGCAGCACATGGAAATGCTGTTTACCTTCCCGCTGGAGTGGTACCTATTTATCTACTTGCACTGTGTGCTTTCGAACCGCTAGGTTGGCAGGAGCTGGGATAGAGCAACGGGAGCTCACCCCGTCATGGGGATTCGAACCGCCAACCTTCTGATCAGCAGGCCCTAGGCTCTGTGGTTTAACCCACAGCACCACCCACGTCCCACATGCATTCTTAAGCACATAATATTATACACACATACTAAGGACTTCTGGGGCATATGGAGTGTTAGAGGAGGGGTAGTACCTCTGGTGTGGAACACATCATGCTCCTTCTTTGGTAGTTTGTCCACCATTGGTAATTGGTCCCCATCCGGCACTCAGCTCTCACCTGTGGCTCCTAGATGCTGTCAGCATGCAACAGCATCCACACCCTGGGAAACGGTTTTGACTGGACAGCTAAATCAGCTGAGGGTAGCCGATGGGTCTCATACCTTCATTGAATTAGGGACTTCCCCTGTATGCAAAGAGAGGCTTCAGCAGATTGAACGGATAAGACCAACAGTGGATCCAAAGTCAAGAAAGCGGTTCCTGTATGTGCTGTAGAGGCAAGCGAGAGGCAGATCAGGCTCATCAATCTGGGAAGGGAGAAGGAAAACTCAGATCTTAACCTCCTCTGCCTTGCAGGAGATCTTCGGGAGAAGGAAAGACTAAGGAGTAAATGTTACACAAATCTGGAGTCCTCAAAATAGCTGGATGGCTTTTGTTACACCTCCTTCTGGCAACTCCTGCAGCCAAGCTGGTGCCAAATGTATTATTCTGTGTTGTTGTTGTTGTTAATGCACAGCTACTGGCAAAAGGCGAATCTTGAGGCTCTACCATATACATTCCAGATTTCCAAACTGCATAAATAGATACATGCAACGACATATATAACTGTCTAAAATACGTATTAATATTTATGAAATTATGCTGCAGAAATATAGTACTGTGTGACTCTTTTATTAGACATATAATATACATTTTTAAAGATATGATTTAGTCTGTAATCTTGCATAACATTAGTCAGCCTCTTTTTTAAAAAAAGAAGAAGAAACAAAATGTGCAAGCAGCTTAGACTTTCGATGCAAGTGACTGAATTTAAGAGTGACTTAGAAGCCAAGATTAGATTTAGTGGTCGTCGACAGCCTGGTGAAAACCAGTGTTCTGGCTCTTGCATTGTTTGGCAAAGTGCAAGTTAAGTAGGGTTGCCGTATTTCAAAAAGTGAAAATCCAGACAGCCCATTGCTAGCTATATCCGGGCAATTCCAGATGTATGGCAACCCTAAAGTTAGGTGGCTTTGCCTATAAGTGTGAACAGAATCAAAACCATCTGTTGTGGACACTTTACATATGCATTTCAGAGGGCTGGACTGGATGGTCTTTGGGGTCCCTTCCAGCTCCACAGTTCTATGGTTCTATGAATCACACCACCACCACAATCCATAGCTGAAAACCTTCCTTATGGTGTTTAGTCCCCAGTGTGGAGGGTATTCCACTCATGTGAGCCCTCACCTGTTGGTCTATTCCAGCCTTTCTCAACCTGTGGGTCCCCAGATGTTGTTGGACTACAACTCTCATCACCTCTAGCTAGCAAGGCCAGAGCTCAGGGATGATGGGAGTTGTAGTCCAACAACATCTGCGGACCCACAGGTTGAGAACCGCGGGATTCAGGCAGTACCTTTATGGAATTATGATTCTTTTTTTACCTATCACCTAAATTTCATTCAAACTAGTGGGCACGATGTGACACAACAGAGGACATCCACCCTACCCGCCTTCTGTGCATGCACACTTCTGTTCCCTCAAGATTCGCCCATGAAAATGCCAGGAGAGAATGGTGTGGCGCCCCATATTTCATCTAGTGATTTTGCAGGTGGCAAACAGATCCCCCCCCCGGAAGCAATTAACATGAGAGTGGGAGCTAAACAGGGGTGCCAGCTCCTGGGGACCGAGCCCTTTTGGGCCACCTCAATATTTTGGG